AGGAATGCATGTCCTGGGTCTCCTACCCATGTAACAGTTCAGGCGAGGTTTTGGAGTCCTCCCTGCAGCAGACAGGACCTGTGGCACTCCTGCCTGCAAGGGAGCTGCACCAGCACAGGGAGCTTTTGCTTAGGCAGATGTTCTCTCCTTACAGAGTGCTGGAGCTGGAAGGAAGCTGCTGTTGCTCATGTGTTGCTGTTTGGCTCAGCACCCTGCATTCCTCTGGGTTAACCCCTCTCTCCCAGCCCCTGGGTGCTTGCTGAGGCAGAGGTAGGGAGCCCATTGCCTCCTTGGCCCATGGCCTGGTATGCAGTTTGAGGCATTTCCTAGTGGTTTGTTCTCAGGGTAAAGGTTCTTGCAACTAGTTGGGACAGGCCTGAATGTGCAGAATTGATTGGAGTAAGATCATGGTATCTTGTTGGGGCAGTGGCTGCCAGGTCAGGACACAGGAGCCCATGGGTCTGGTACAGATGCTGCTGGCAGTGATGACCTGAAAGGGGGAAAAAAATGGGCTTATGGGGAAAAAATGGGCTTATGACTCTCTTTACTAAGAAAAGTAAGTTATTTTCTTTCTGCTTCTTGCTGACATACTCAGAGACTCTTGTCCTGGTCATGAGAGAATGATAATTTTTGTCTTACTGCTGGATTTGCAGTCTTCCTGCTTCAAAGTCTGGGCTTCATTTTTATTAATGTCTTCAGTAGCAACAGTGTTGTTGCAAAACATCAACTAAGGATAATATTGGAGGAAGGAAGTCTTTGATATTAAGGATTTCTCATCTTCTCTCCTGTACCAGCTGTTGCGTTGAGGTCTGAAAACTCATTATGTGTACTCTCCTAGGGTGCTGAGTGTGCCCTCCTGCAAGCCCAGGAAGGGAATTGCTTTTCCTGATACTGCTCAGGGAGAGAACAAACAGCAAGAGGCTCACTCAGACTTTCTTTATCTATCACAATGAAGCAAAAGCAGATTCCTTTACAGGTATCTTGTGCCTTATCCTGGGCCAATTAATAACTCTCCAACTCAGGACTGATGTTTACCTGCTCTCCCAGGGGGGATTCACTGCTTTTAGTCACCAGTGGATTAGAATTGCTTTAATTAATGTCTTCCTAAAAATACCCTAAGCAGCACTAAAAGGTCACTCTAAAAATAGGCATGAAAAGTGACCTAAGGAGAGTCAGGAATGCAGAGGAAGTTTGTTCCTCTGGTCCTGCCTTTCCAAGGAAGCTGGAGCAGCTGAGCTGCTCCTCAGAGTGGTTCCCCCTTGGTCCTGTGTGCTCAGCCATGCTTGGGGATTAATTGGGCTGATGAGCTTTTGGGATTGGCCAAGGTATCCTGACAGCTAATGATCTTCCTTGAAATAAGAGTGCCAGAGTGTGCATGTTCATCTGTTGGAGAGAGTCAGAGAGAGGAAAGAGGCTTACAATCACTGAAAATTGTTATAATTATGACATAATTTGGACATCTGGAAAGTTTCAGTGTAAGCAGAATTTCAGCATGTGGAAGCTCGTAACTGGAAAGCTGGGTAATGAATGAGGGGCCTGTTTGTCACAGAAAGCTGGTTAACTGAATTCCATCCCTGTTACACAGTTAAACTTCCATGGTCTCCAGCCCTGCTCCAGGCTGGGAGCAGCTGGTGCCTTCATTTGCAAGGGTTTACTTTCCAGTAACTGTACAACCTGTCCTGATCATTCAAGCCTTAAATTGCTTAAAGGATTCTCCTGTTTCTGGGCAAATAGCATGAAGTAAAAGGGCTTTGTCCAGTTGTGTGGAGCAAGCAGAGGAGAATTTATCCAGCTAAAGACATTGGTTAATGTTATTTATAAAGCACAGGATAAAGGACCAGGGCAGTGTGCACGGGTGGTTCTTCACTCTGAGTGCTCCGTTTCAGAGCCTCCCACCCGGGTCTTGCTGCTGCTGGACAGTGGATGGTGTCTCTGGCCATGCAGCTCCCATGGTTTTCTCCTCCCAACTCATGTGAGGTTCAGCCTCAGGACAGTCAATCCCAGAGGGACTGCAGGCCAGTGAGAAGCCAGCTAATGTTGCTTTGATTCTCCCAGATAGTCCCTGCAGCAAAACTGGGAAACTGTGCTCTGAAATGGCTGTTTGTAAAGGAGATTTATGGCTAAAACAGAGTCTGACCCCTCCTCAGTCTGCTTTTGTACCATCCAGCTCTGTCTATAAACAGCTCTGGTTTTGATGCACAGATGGTGGTTGCTGGCCAGGACAGTCTCTAGGCCTCAGGGGACCAAGGGCACGGTGGGACCCATTGCCAGCCTGTTCCTGCGGGTGGGAGTATCCAGCTGAATAAATAACACATGCTGGGAACAGGATAAGGTGGGAGCAGGGAGCTGGAGAGAGCTGAGCAGAAACAGGCAGCAGGTTCTCCAGCCATAAGAGCTGCTGCAGTGAGTGTCTGCTGGACACAAGAGAATTCTGGTATCCTGGAGGGCCAGGCTGAGGTCTGTGCAGCTACAAGGCTGGAGTAGCTCCAGTGGGGCTCTGTGTTGGTACTAGGCACAGTGGGATTTTATCCAGGTGCTTGATCAGCAGTATTAAACTTTGCACAGCCCTCTCTCCAAGACCCTGGTACTGCTGGTGTTTCACACCCAGCTGACTTGTGAAGAGCTGCATTGCACAGCACATCAGCAGGGTGAGAGGGCTGGGCTGTAGTACAGGCCTGGGTCGTGCCCCACAGCTGATACACACCGTGTGTCATTACTGTTCTGAGGCAGTTTGAACGTGCTGGCCTTGAACTTGCCATCCCTGCATATCCCTCTGTCTTTTCAGTGTCTTCCCAAGGGAACTCAAGGAAGTTTTTGCCTCATGGAGACAAGAATGCAGCAACCGAGGCCGCCCAGACATCAGCGAGCGCCTGATCAGTGCCTCCCTGTTCCTGCGGTTCCTCTGTCCGGCCATCATGTCCCCGTCCCTCTTCAGCCTCCTGCAGGAGTACCCGGACGATCGCACTGCACGCACTTTGACCCTCATTGCCAAGGTCACGCAGAACCTGGCCAACTTTGCCAAGTAAGCTGGGGGGCAGGCCCGGGAGGGGCAGGTCTGGAGAGGGGGAGGCAGCTCCGGGGGTGTAGGCAGAGCCAGGCTCCGGTGTCAGGCGTCCCACGCTGGCTGCTCCTCTCCTCGAGGGAGAGGGCCTGTTTGTTTCCTGTTGGCTTTTTCCGCACGTATCTCTGGGACCCGATCCTCACTGTCGGGTCAGGGAGATCATTTAAATTTCCAAAACAGGACATGTTTTTTGAGCAGGAAAACAGGCCGTTCTGACCACAGAGATGAGCAGGCGGGGGTGTCAGCAGGA